CAGTACCCTTACTAACGGGCCACGGACTGCGCGCGATCATTTCCTTCTCATCTTCCTTACCCTATCTCACCACCTACACTAACATTGACACACTAATCATACACGCCGTGAGACTGTCGGAGCTTAGAGCTTGTCCCGGACTGAGGGTGGTGCCCCGCTGGTGGGAGTACCTGGTTGTGGGTGAAACCCACCAGCACGACGGTAGTGTCAGCGCCGCGGTCCCGCATCCAGCAGGAGAAGACCACCGACATTCTCTCTAGCAATAAACACACCACACTTTACGGGGGGCAAATGACCCTGGTATTACGTGCTCGGAAATCCACTTAAAATAAACCATTAATAATCAATCGATTATGTTGAGCTGTTGGTGTCCTCCCTAATGTAGGGGGAAGAGGAGCCGCTTTAGCTAAATTTGCGCTGGCAGACGAGCAGAGCCGGCCTCATGGCCCGATCTCGCCACGTAAATTATACGTATCGATATCTTAAGCTTATTTTGATTGAATTAGATTCAGTATCCTGAACGGGATAACGTTTTGTTTCGGTTTGGGCAGTATTACTGTGAATGTTTCATTTGCGCAGATATTAAAGTTGAGAATATTTTAAAGATTCAAAGTTTCCAGGTTAATCGCATAAACTTTTGCCATCGTATCAACAGAAGAAATAAGGCACCACAATTTTCTGCCTCTCAGAGAGTAAGAAGTGCGTGAAAAAATCGAAAGGCGAAGAAATTACTGACAAGATGAAAAACGTCCTACAGATCGATTAATAGAGAAAATGCGTTCTCCTAAAATGCAACGAAGATAAAATTACCCCATTACCACTTTTGCTGATTATGAACAGTGATGAGGTTGGGCAAAGAAAAATAAAATTTTAAGGTTAGTAATTCGGCCAGAGTTGAATTAATATGAGTTTCATATTTAACTTGATGTAGAAAATTTCTTAATCATTAGATTTGTATCTATCGCAATTACTGTTAACGCAGAAGAGTAATAAAGAAAATTAATAATAAAATAATATATTAATTATTATTCTATTTTTATGACAGACTAAAATAATGAAGCAGAAAATTTGTTGCCGACTATTAAAATATTTATATTAGAAGAATTCGAAGAAGAAACAAAATTGTAATGAGTTGAATTTCTAACAAAGAGTCCAGGCCTACAGAATAGACAACAAGATTGGAAATAAGATTTGATCGTAGCTGTAGTTGTATTTACCACTAATCGAACGAAGCAAGTATTAGAGTCGCTCGATTTCCCGGTTCCACAGAAGGATTGGTTGGAGTATGCCTCTGGATATTACGTGTGTTGAATCGGAGAAACCACGCCGGAAAACTACCGATCAGAGCAGCCATTCTTCAGCATAGGTGACTGACTCTAGGCTACGTATGCTAGGGTGAAAATCCATGCAGATGTCGAACTCAAACCTACGACTCGCGACATGGAACTGCAGATATATCAGTTTAACCCCAAGCGGAGAGAGCGATGGGCAAGTTGTTCTTCTTCCCCTAAAAAACTCGCCATCTTTTTGGCGAGTGTCTTCTGTTCCGTTCAGATGAGCTCAGTCGTAAAGTACATTTCAACTGTAAGACACATCTAGCCAATAAAGATCAATATATTAAGCAAAAGGTCAGTTTTGAATTTCATTTCACAAGACATCATCATTACAGGGTAAGATTCTCTCTGCTCCGGCATTCACCTGGTACCTATCGAAGAAACCACGGTAAACCACCGATCAGACCAGCTGGCCGCAGGAATTCTCCTCTAGACAGCCGTTGAATTCGACCTCGCTGACAAGTCGAAAATCCTGCCACCGACGTGATTCGAACCTAGGACCTGCCGGACAGAGGGACTGCAGTGACTTCTGAGCCATTCTTCCCGGACCGAGTGGACGAAGAGGAAGTAGGTCAGAAGGGAAGTTATAATAATTGAAGGGGGTGGCTCTAGATCAGAGATAAGATCGCGGGGACGATAACTAGCTTACTAGAGGTCTCGGACACTACGTCCAAGGCAACTGGCGAGAGGTTTATAAGTAAGGGTTGTACAAATTTCTCCGGGGTGGTGGTGCATTAATGCATTCCTGGCCCATGACAAGACTTTTGGACACGTCTGTTATCAGTTATTCCCTCATATATTATGCCTTATATACATTAATTTTCATTTTTTATTTTATAAATGGAATATATCGCTAAAAATTTAACTCATCAATTTTGAGTCAAATTAATTTTTTGAACCGAAGGGATCTTGTCTTCGAAATTACGTTTACACGAGATCAATAATAGCATTAAATTGATAGTGCAGATTTTGATCTTGTCTGTTAAAAGATCTGTCTGCCTGTAAGAGTGATATAATAAATGCAAGAGGAGGTTTTACTAGAGGAGATAGGCTACATGCAGACTTGTTCATTCAATTCACATTATTGATACATATAACAAAGAACAGAATCATTACTAAAACAACACAGATTATTAACAGTCAAATCATTTGCAATTCAAACATATTCCTGGTGTTTGATTTTACAAAACAGAAATTTAAAATAAAATAATACGTAATAGAGTATATAAACATAATTAACATTTCAGTTGCTTGGAAACATGCTTTCGTTTGAAGTCACAATTCGATGTGATATTTGGAGCTTTGTGCCTACTATCACAGACACTCCTTGCCCCTGTACATCTCTGGATGTGGAGGGGATATGTCTTTGTAGTACAGTGTCATTTGTTACCCGAGCACCACAACACTCGCACAAAATGTAACAATCGAAATGGCGACCGGGAGAGATGGCTCAGCAGTCTGGAGGACAATTCTAGCGGCCGGCTGCTCTGATCGGTAGTTTTCCGTGGTTTCTGCGATCAACACCAGGCGAATGCCGGAGCAGTGCCCTAACAAACGGGCCACGGATCTTTTCTACCTCTTCCATGTCCTGCCCTCTCCCCTTACACACACTTACACTAACATGCACTACACTATCACACTTGGAAGTCGGAATCTCTTAGAGCTTGTCGCGGCTGGGGCTGGACCCTCCTGGTGGGAGACACCTAGTTAGGGAAATCCCCGCTAACCGACGGTAGGTCGGCGCCTGAGCTCGCGATACAGGAAATTGATCACCGCCACCTCCCGAGCAAAGAAACATGCATCACATTTACGGGACTAACGACCCTGGTAGTTGACGTGCTCGGAATCACTAAACAATCTCCCACTCGCAAGAGACCCCAAGTACCTATTTGCGATTCGTCGCGCGTGCCGCTTCACTCGCGGCAGTGAGGCGTCATGTGTGTGGGTGTGTCGCAGATGGCCGACCAGGCGGCCGCCACCTTCGGTTCGTGCTGCTTCTCCAAGGGCGACGTGAAGGTGACGCTGGGCACCGGCACTTTCCTGGACATGAACACGGGCGCCTCCGCGCACGCCTCCGTCGCAGGTGAGCACCCGCCCCACGCGCACGCTCGACTAGGGTTGCCAACACTGCGCGTCTAAAAGGTGGGGGGTACTCGACAAGGCAAGCCGAAAAAAAGAAGAAGAAAAAAACAAACAAAGAAAAAGAAAAAATGAAAAAAAAGAAAAAGGGAAAAAGAAAAAAAACGAAAAAAGAAAAAAAACAACCTACATCATCACATTCCTTTTTATAATCTATAAGATACAATCTATACGATATAATTTATATGATATAATACATTAATATCTTAATGTAGACTAACTTAATGTAGTATTTAATTACTAGTAGTAGTAGTATTAGTAGTAGTAACTTAATGTAGTAATGTAATAATTTATATGATATAATAAATTAATATCTTAATGTGTACTTAATGTAGACTGAGCATGTCAATCCGGATAGCCGAGATTGCTAAGGCACTAGGGTCGTGGCTATCTCGGGTCTAAAGATCGCGGTTCGATTCTCTACTGGGGTATCAATGTATTTGTGATCGTCCCTCCCCTTTTATCATAATGCTATCACTTCATTAAAGTAGGATTAATAATTCGGTGCGGGAGGACGCCCTTGCTCTTAATGGGGTGTGCAGTTGGCTAATAAAAAAAATATACCGGCGTTTATTTCTTTTCACCATTTGCGATTCAAGTAAAAAGATTTGTTCACAAAATGCAGATGAAAATGTTGCGAGCGTCGTTTTTTTTTATTTTAGTCGCTAGATAGAGACACCATCATGTATGCGTGTGTCAGCTTTCAGAAAAAGAATATTCATGTTTTCTATGCTAAATTAAACACTAAACGATACAAAGTAGCATATGTTAGTCATGTGATGAAATAAATGACAACAAATGTTAACAATTTACTAAAAGGAGGACATTTAAAATACAAAGGAAGACGAGAGAACCACTGACGTCAATGGAGGACTGTTGGCAACACTACACTCAACTGGCTGAAGGGTCTCAGGGCATCAGTTGATGTCGCTGCAAGACCTTTAACCTGGATGTCCTAGGGTTCCAGTCCGGACGGTGGTTGAATTTCTAACACTAGCTAGACAGCTAGGTCGAATTCAACTGCTATGTGGATCAGAACTCTAGCGACCGGCTGCTCTGATCGGTAGTTTTTCGTGGTTTTGTCCCATCAATATCAGACGAATGCCGGAGCAGTACCCTAACCCAAACGGACCACGGACCGCGCGCGATCTTTCCTATCCCTTACACGCACTACACTACCATCATGCCGGAAGACAAGTCGGGTGCTTGGAGCTTGTGCTGGCTTGAGCTGTGCCCCCTGGTGGGAAAGACCTGTTTTGAGAAAACCCGCAAGCCGTCAGGTAGGACAGATGCGGTCATCTAATGGTGGAAGATCGCAGCTATCTCCCGCGATAAAAGATATTCACTACGCTTACGGGACTAGTGACCTATGCTGTCGCCGCACCCGGAATTATAAATCAATCAAACGCTCACACTCAACTTTAGACTTTAGAGCACCCTTTGTGAACTCCCTAAAGAATATTTTCATTAACTCTTAAATTCTTGGGTTAGAGTACCAAATTCGTTGCACAAAACACAATGGGTGATTGACTTACATCCTTGCCTAAAAGTGTTCATTTTTAATGCTTTCATTTTTTAACTATTTTTTCATACGCCGATATTTTTCTAATAGTTGCCATTTATAACTTGCAAAATTGTGGTTGTGGTCAGATACTCGACTCGATAATAACCAGTCGATTTGCTACTCCCTGCACGTGTTTGAGACCAAAAAAATACCGGTTAGGTTTCGTTATTGTAATGTCAATATCAATAAGATTTCTCCACCTTATTCCTTGAATATAAAATAAAGGAAAATAAATTAATTTACTTCGTTCTAATTGTCAGCCCCATAGAAAGCACCCTCTCCCTGCTCGACTGTTTGAAGCAAGAGAGAAGACTCCATTTCTATTTTACCCTTTCTCCATTTCTAATAATTATTGTGCAGCAAGTTGTTACTACTGGCTGTCCTTGCCGTAAATTGTTCATAGTTTTTAGCAGGCATATTTTTTATTAATTACAATTAAGTATGATGGCTTCAAAAGTTAAGAAATATTTTATTGGCATATACTACATACCTCTTCTTTTGCGTATACGCCAAGTCAGGCCACGCGTGCATCTTGCTTCACTGGGTGCAAGTACCTTTTCTGGGGGGTGGGGGTAAGCATTTTAGCTGAATTGCGATTTTTATCCCCAAATGTCGCTAGCCCTGAGGGTATGAACGATGAGATGATAATGATGATGATGAAGGATGAAAGAACGTCACACGCATAGGTTATACACAAATACACCCGTGCTCGATACGAGATTTGAACCCGCTGTCTTCTGGTCCGAGAACGCTACGGCCCTACTGCCCTGACGATCTCCGCGAACTGACCGGCTTTGCAATCAAATTGCATTGCCAGAAGAAAACTCAATATCTACCCAGAGAAAATATTTTAAATTGGAAACCACTTTTTGCAGTAAAAATAATGAAATTTAAGCAGGGTATTCATTGATTGGTTTCATCCTTCACTCATTGATTCTCCTCGAACGAAAAATACAAATTAAACCTCTAAAAAATGTCATTTGTGTTATAATGTTTATCATTTTTCAAATATGAACATATTGTAAATTTGCAGAAGAGAAAAAAGTTTGCTACGATCACCATCATTTTGATACCGTCAGCTTTCATCATATGCATTGTTAACTACATACTCTGCAAACTGTTACCTCCAATTAATCATAGCTGTCAAAATTTGCCCTGCCATTAATCAATGAATATTGAAGCTGTTGAAATATTGAAATAGTGTATTATGCAAATATTTTATAATGTTAATCTTGATTTATGTGTTCATGTTTTGAGTACCAGCGACGTTAGGAGAGATTTTTCAAGTTTGAACGAATGCAATAAAGAAAGTTTGCAAGAACGAATGCAATAAAGAAACGACTTGCATGCGTTAATTTTTTTGTATAGCAGCATTATAAATTTATATGAGAATCAAAGTTAATGTTTGAAATCAAGCTTAGTGTGACGGGTACTTGACATCTGTGCAAAACTCGGTGGTCGTCTGTTCGGTTTACCGCTGTCTCGATTTTCTCGCTGTGATTGGCTGAATGTGTGATGACGCAATTAATCGGGCCATATGCGGAAAGTACGTCATGATCTGTGACATAAGATGTTCTTCTAAGGTCGTTTATAATGATGAAGTACAAAAATAACATTACTGGAATATTTTATAAGCTTTAACAAACGTTTCACAATCGGAAAAAACTACAACTGAGACTGCACACGTAGTTTTTGCTGTAAGGGGGAGGAAATGAGGAAATCTTTTTCAGCAGTAACGTTTTTCTTATTTCCAAGGTCAGTTGTACAAAATTTCATTAAAACCGGAACTGTAGATTTGTTTGAAAAAACAACCAAGCATTCTTCTTGAAATAAATTACATTTTAAAACAATACCCAAGTTATATCCCACAAAATACTCTTCCGCCCAGTGAAACCCCCATTGCAATTGATGTAGCCGTTCTATAGTATATAGACCTGGCAAAGACAGACGGGCGACAAAAAATGTAAAACAATTGAATGGATTTTATATATTATCATGTATATATATATATATGTATATATATATGTATATATATGTATATATATATGTATATATATGTATATATATATATGTATATATATATATATGTATATATATGTATATATATATATATATATATATAATATTCTAAAATATCATCACTTTCATAGTATTCACAACGAGTTTCGTATCATAACATTGAACAAGTTTGATTCAATTAAATGAAATGGTATTTAAAAATTTAATTCGATACTTTTAGGGTTCCTGCTTTTACTTACAGAGTGGTAACGGTTTACGACACGTGAGTTTTCCCGTTCAAGATTGGGCGAAAGTGAGTGTGTTTGTGAGTATTTGGCCAGGTTCCGTGCGGCTCGTCAGGACGCATCATATTTAGTTCTTTCGGGCAGAACAGAGAAGCTCTTCCATACCACACTTCTCTTGCTTCGAATGAGGGAAAGCGTGTGCGCTTGGGCGTGAAGGCGGCGCTGAAGGAATATGGAATACAAGATAATCGATAAAGGAAATAGTCATTGATCATTTATGGATATTTGATTGATAAGACAATGAGCTAAGGGAACAAACGAAAAAGGGGGCAAGTGGGACCAATGGGACATGGGGAAAATGGACGAAATGAGACAAAAAGGACAAGGCGAAAGGAACATATTTATCCAAAGACAGAGGTAAAATCTAAACTCGAGAGTCCACTAAAATATTTTTAATGGACTCGAGCAGTTTGAGAGCCGTTGCTAAGGAGGTAAGCGCGTGTTGGCCGACGTAAATAACAAAACAAATCTGTTCCAACTCTATTCTGAAAATTTCAAGGTCGTAGAAAAAGTATAGTTCTCGCACATAATGGCTATTATTCACTCGTGGAAATTACAAGTCGCTCGTGTCGTAGACATCAACTCTTGAATAATAGCTATCATTATGCACTCGTTGAAGAAAATACGATTACACATTCTATTTGTATCTTTTTATGTTATTTATTATCGTCTGAACTGAAGAAACGTCTAAAACTTGTAATTTTTGAAAAGGACTTTCATATAGGCGGAAGAGTTTATTTCTGAGCTCTCTCTGCATACTAACTCTTTTGGTAACTAACTTCAAGAATATTTTACCAGTGATAAATACACTATTTTTTAAAAATGTTTCTTGTAACTTACTTCAAAAATGACTATTTTTGAGTTTTAGTTTTTCACGGACGATATTTGCTTATTTGTGGTTTTCATTATTGATTTTGACATGTTTCAATGTAATGTAATAATGAAGTTCAAAACCATAACGATAATTCTCCAAATAAAGTTGATTTCAAGGAATAACATAATATTACGAAGTAGCACTTATTGATCAGCAGTTCTTAACACGTTTAAACTAATTCAAAATGGGTTGAAATACTAAAT